CTCTGTATTTCTTGGTTCTCTGATTTTAGGTAGGACACCAGACAGTTTCACAAAGCTGTCTCCTTCCTACGATTATTCTAGATATGGTGCTCAAAAAATTACGAAACTGACAACGGGGGGGAAAATAAAGTCGTCCTGTTGTTCAGTCAGTCAACTGCTCCCTACGCGAAACTTCTGTGTCCTTAGGGTTTCTCTTCCTAGAGGAGCCGACTAACTCCTGGGGTCTGGCACCCCGGGCTGCTGAGTAAGTGGGGGTTAGGACTCCGCATATGTCAGTTGGTCAAATTGAAAACAGTTGTGGCTTCTCTGTAATAACTTTTCCCTGAAATAATGGAGAAAAAAGGCAAAAGTGTGGTACTGTGGGAGAAAACATGACCAACAGGACATGTTGTCTGGGAATTTCTTTCTCAGGCAAGTATGATTCATGGGGTAGATACACAAGGGCCATGCAGCTAAGGATTGCTTGGTAATTTGAGTCTCAACCTTTGAAGGGTATTAAGTTTAATTCCCCCAGCCTGGTGTGTGTTACAAGTATCACATAAATAAAATCCACTCTTGAGATTGCTTAACTGGGTTTTCCCAGCACTCTACTTTTTCCATTTCTTTTCCAACTAGCTTTGCCCAAGCCTTTAAAAGATCTTTTTTTCCCCCTTCCCCTGCTTATAAAGCACATTGGCTTTGTGAGAAGACTCTTTTAGGAAGTCCCCCTGTTAGGCAAGATTTTACTTCATAAATTTCTCAGGGAAAAAATTTTTTCCTCTTCTGCTATTAATCTACAAAAGTAGAATGCCATATGTAATCAAAAATTTGTCCAAATGGCATGAGTAAGACAGCTTTTCTTTTGACTATTGCCAAGTGTAGTTGGCAGATTACCTCTAGAACATGAGCTGCACAGACAGACCTGCAGAGGAAGTTGACAAACACAACGTGCACGAAAATTGGCGATCACCTAAAAGTCTAGTTTCAAAGAAAAAATCACGCTTAGTGTGCAGTTTCTTCCTGATGAGGAAAAGGGCTCTTCCTTGTCCATGGGTTAATGTTTTCAGAAATACTGTCTTATTTTCTGTTCTCACCCATTGACACAACAGGCTACACCCACCTGCCAAACGTGGACTTCATTCTATTGGAGATCAGAGATAGGAACACATTCCAAGCTCTAGAAGGCCAGGAACTGTGTCAGTCTCGTTTTCCACTGTAACATACACCTCTCGGCACATAGAAGGTGCTCAACCAGTAATAACTGAACAAATTCAAAAGGACAAAATGTAGAAATTCCATCTTGGGGACAAACAGCATGTAAATTTGGTGTTTGTTCTTTGGTAAATGGTTTGATGAAAAATCCCTAGGAGATGGGATGAATGTATAAATCCGGTCTTCTATATATGTACAATTTTAGAACTTGGCTCAATTTATCCATTCAACAACTATCGAGTGTCTGTTCTTGCCAGGCATTTCTCTAAGTGCTTGAGATACCATATTGTACTCTTCTATACTATGTTGACAGGTAATAATTCGTTGGTGGGAAGAAATAAAGCTGATTAAATAAGGGATCTAGAGCTGGGGGTGGGAGAAGCTATTTTAAGTGGGATTGTCAGTGAAGGCCTCCCTGAGGTGAGGTCTGAGGAAACACCTGAATGAAGCATGGCAGTTATACAGTTATTTGGAAGATTCTTCCAGTTAGAGGGAGAGCGAGAATGCCAGCTTTGAGGTGAAAAAGGTCTTGAAATGTTTGAGAAGTAGTAGCAAGAAGGCAATGTGACTGAGAATGGCCGGGCAAGGGTGAGAATACCAGAGATCTTCTACTTTGCTTAAGAAATTAATTTGGAAGGATAACTAAAAGGCCAGATTATGTATGGCTCTGCGGGCCATTGTTAAGATTTAGAAAATTTTAAAAAATACTTTATTTTATTTGAGAGAGAG